ACAAAAATTTCAAAATAACATTTAAAAAATCCGCATATATGAAAATTTATTATTGATGTTTATTATTTTTGATGATCAACCATTGTGACCAACCCCAATTGAATCACAATTTAATATTAGTTTAAATCTTGAGATTTTGAAGAAGGATTCATATTTTGATAAATCATTTTAACAAACTCATTAGGATCATTAATTGGAGGTTTATTTTCTCTCTATTGATAATTATAAAGAACAGTTGACTTGTTCATTAAAAACTGTGGAAAATTCCTTTAAAAAAATGACCTTTGCAAAAATTTCTTTTTTAAATAAAACAAATTTTACAATTACCTTTAATTTTATCAACAGATGGCCTTGTGTTGTTTTTAAATTATCTATTTCATTTGTAAATCTATTGTTTCTGACAAAAATACATTAGTATTTAGTTCTTTCTTAATTTTTTATTGTGGTAGAGTATCACATTTACATCTTTGATATTTAATGTCTCTATCCCGTTGAACCTTTGAAATGTAATACTTTGTACAGAGAATCGCTTATATTAAGTTCAAAGAATCCTCTTCTTTAAGGATACCGGCTGCAACTTTTGATGATGGTTGCTACCACCTTTGCGTCATATAAAAATGATTGCAACCGCTGGTTGCAACCTTTACGACCATTTTGTTTCCTTTTTTGGATTGCGACATGGAACACTACTCTTCTTCAGCTTTTCCTTTAGTAGTTTATTTATTGTTCTAAAATTATCAATTTTAGTTTTTTTACAAAGTGCGCATTGTTTAGTTTTGCATGTTTCACCAAGGAATGCATGGTTATCGTGTAACATGCGAATGTCCCATTATGCATTATGCTGGCTGGTAATAATGCGCAGTCACCCCATTCTTCTATTTCAAATAGAAAAGATCGGCTTTAGATTTTGTCACAGGTGATAAAATATATTCATTGTGTGTTCCTAAAGTCCCAAAAACAACAAAACTTTTCCTCGTTTTCTATTGAAGAGAAATATGCAACCTCTTTTTTCATATGTATTTAATGTTGATCATGCAATTATGATCAACGATTTCAATTTTATCACATTATTAATTAATAATCTGCATCAGTTTGTTTAGTTTATTAAGTTAGTTGAATTTATCAAATATTATTTCGGTTTTGTTATATTCTTTTTTTTTAAAAAAATGACATTAACTGACAAATCCAACCGTTCGATAAAAGCTATTAAAACAATAGTAAAATCTTCCATTACCTCTTCTTCCACAACTGTAACTACTAGAACATCAGCTACTAAAACCTCTTCATCCACTAGAATTAAAGCATTATTTACTCATGAACCTGAAGAAATTGAAAGAAAAACTGAACTAAATATTATACAAACTTCAGAAACTATTACTACTGAAGATGTTGACACAGAGGTTAATAATATAGAACAACATTGTGTTCTAATACCTTCTTATGGATTTCGTAGAGTAAACGAACAAGGTAAATAATTGTGTAATAAATATGCGTGCACGTTGTGACCAATTTCAGAAACTAAATGATAATGATAATGATTAATCCGTTATGTGTGATCATTAATCAATCAATTTTTTAATAATTGATAAACAATGTATATTTTATTCTCATAATTACTTATAATAGGAAAAGAGGAATGGTGTATTAAAGTAAGAGGTTGGGGATATGTCAAAAATCAAAGTCGTAAAAGAAGGATTTTGCTAGGTAAATTTTTTTATCGCAATTCAATTACAATACATGCCATTAATATCATACGAAATATATTCATCATATTATATTAATATTTTATTTAAAGGAGTTGCACGTCGAATTGTTGGAGTTGCTAATGATTTGGAAAAGAGTAGAGTTTTAGAAGATAGATTTGGAATGTTTTTAACAAAAAATCTAAAAAATCAACGTTATAATATTAAAGTTGTTGGCATTGCACATCCTCTACATATGGAACTTTATTTTGATTTACGTGGTGATAATGAAGTTGACGATGTTGACGATGTTGACGATGAGGATGAAGGTGATGAAGGGGATGGGGGTGATGAAGGGGATGAAGGGGAGAAGGAAAAAAAAGAAACTAAAGATGGTTATGAATCAGAAAAAAATGAGACAGATAGTGTAACTATCCCAACTAATAATGATGATGCCAACAATAGCAATGTTGTTGATAATGATGATAATAATAAGTTAGGAAAAGATGATCAGGATGATGAAGATAGTTTTGTACATCCTGTACAAATTACAAAAAATAATGGGCATTTTTATGGTGAAATTATAGTACCAGTTGAAGTTGTAGATCGATGGGCAATGGAATCACATGAAACCAATGTCAGATTACTTAAATTGTTGGTGGAACCACAAGGAGTAGACCATTGTAATGTTTGTTTATCATTATCTAATTTCATCATTATCAATTATTGTAATTAATAAATACTTTTAAAAATAATAGCTGATAAAGCTTATTATGGTTTCGCTAATTTAATTGGCAGAGAGGGAATATCCGTGATATCTGTAAGAATTATCATTTTGTTATTTTGTAAGGGAGATTATAACCTTATTAACCATACGTTTATTATGTAATTTTAATTAGGATATTGACGACACGATTAAATGTACTGGAATAACTAGTGGGCCACGTACAGTTTTATCAAATACATTTTTAAATGAATTGAAAGAAGTCGATGGAATGGCCGATGTTTATAAAGAATGGGTTTGTTCTAATATTAATTATACTATAAAAATTTTAATCGACGAATATTATTAAACGTATTATTATTATTATTTACAAACAGTATGATAAAGGAGCAGCAATTCACTATGTATCTAATTCACCATGGCAATTATTTCCAATGTTAAGAAAATTCTTTCACAACAAAAAATTTCCACCTGGATCAGCACACTTGAAATTTTATGATGATTTAATGAAAACTTTGTTGTTGGAAGGACGTGGCGAAAGTAAACGGAATTATATAGAGGAAATTTTGAATGATTTTCCCGAACGTAAATTCATATTAGTTGGCGATAGCGGTGAGATCGATATGGAAATGTAAATAGTCATTTATTTAGTTTAGATTGTTAATTAAATAAATGTATTATTTAATCAATATAATAATACTAATTATCATTATTACCATCATCATTAATATTAGATATACAAATATAGCAAAAAATTATCCAGGGAGAATTTTGCATATTTTTATTAGAGATGTCACAACTAAATTTCTTACTAAAAAACGCTCAAAATCACAAAAAAACTCATCAAAATCATCAAATATCTCAGAATATGACAATAAAAATGCATCATTTTCATTATTTTCATCATCATCATCATCGTCATCATCGTCATCATCATCATCATCTCCTTTAGAAATTTCCACTCCTAGATCTTTTGGTGATGTTAAAAAGAATGGCAGTAATAGTAGTAGTAATGGCAGCGAGGCATCATATATTGAAGATACTGGAGGTTATTTTTCAGGCAATCTAGAGATGTATTCATCATCATCTCCAGTTATCACTCCAATTACCCCAATGACACCAATTACATCGGATAAATCATCGTCTTCATCTTCATCTTCAGTAGCAGCAGCAACAAGTTTACAACAATTTATGGAAAAAGTAAAACAATATGGTCAGATAGCGCCATTTACATTATTTCAAGATAGTAAAGAACTAAGAGAAAATGAAGATGTTAATAGAGCATTTAGAGAATATAGCAACGACAAATAAAATTTCATAAAAAATTTGTATTTAATTATTTAAATTGTATTTTTAAAAATTGTATTTTTTAAAAATTTGTATTTTTATTTTGATATTTAATCACAATTTTTACAATTAAAAAAACTTTTAATGAATGAATGAATGAATCAATAAATGAATGAATGAATGAATGAATGAGTGTGAATGAATGAATGAATGAGTGTGAATGAATGAATGAATGAGTGTGAATGAATATTATAAACATTATCCTTTTTCTATCACTTTCTTTTCTACTATATCACAACCATTAATACTATTATTATTACTTGTAACAATATTAATAGCACTATTATAACTACTACGCATAGCATTATAACTATTATGACTGATATGGCTATTGCGCATAACATTAATGCTATTATGTTTACTATTATGATGATAGTTATTAAAACTAATACTACTATTGTGTTTACTATAATAAACACCTTCAAATTCTTCAAAAATAGAAAACTTGTCCCCAACAAATTTTTTCTCGAGATACCTCAATATATTACTTAACGGAGGCACACCATAAATCAACACCACCCCGATTCTCAATATATAATCTATTGAATTACTGATTGGATGAAACGGGACCATATCACCAATTATGAAAATTATTAGATAGAAAATCAGATACATTAATGTCAATAATCCAATCATTGTCATATACCAAAGTCCAACCGATGAGTTTTGTGAGTTGACGCGGTAAGGAATCCTTTTCATTCCTGGTATTAGAATTATTGCAGATTTTAATATCTCGTATGTTGATGGTGGTGGTGATAATGATGATGATGGTGGTGGTGATGGTGATGGTGGTAATGGTGATGGTAACGATGGTGATGGTAATGGTGATAATGATGATAGTGATGATGGTGATAGCAAAGATGGTGATGATGGTAACGATGGTGATGGTAACGGTGATGATGGTAATGATGATGATGGTAATAGTAATGATGGTAATAGCAAAGATGGTAATGGTGATGATGGTAATAATGATGATGATGATGGTGATGATGATAATGGCGATTGTGGTAACGGTGATGATGGACAAGTTGTTGTATTATCATTAGTGCCAGAGAAATTTGTAGTTGTAGGCACACCAGCAATAGAATAACTTTTATTGTGATTATAAAAAGCAACGATATTTAACAAAATCGGCTCGAATGTGAACAAGAATCCACAAATTCCACAAATCATCCACATTGCACATTGCAACATATAAAGTGGCAAGTTGGGATCTCCGTTAAATTGTTCTAATGATAAAATGGCACCTGACAAATAAATTATATCTAACGATACTATCATTATTATGGTTATTTTATATAATGGTGTGTTCCAATGTTTTCGTCCGTCATATAATTTTCTCCCGACTAATAATAAACACGACCAAATTGTTGTCGAGTAGATCAACGCGAATAATTCATGATGAAACCAGAAAGTTGTTATTATGAAATGAGATTCCTGTTTGATACGGTAAAAGTTTAGAATTGCCGAGAGCAGTGTTGTAATTCCTGAGATCAAGCTGTCAGTTTCAATGGGGAAAAAAAATAATAAGTAAATAAGGAAAGAAAGAAAATCAAGAGTTTTTTAGTTAAAGAAACTTATCACGTGATCCAACTAACCATGCCATTCGTAAACATGTAACCTTTATGATATTGTGATATGTTAAAATACAACATCCTATAGCACTGATGCCAATACTTGTAATTGTAAAACATAATGATATAGTTTCTTCTTCCATTAAATTGTAATTATGATTAGCGAGGAAACTGGTGGATTGTTTAGAGTTGTGTTATAATTTGATGATTTTTTTACACGATGTTCTTGACAAAGGTTGTTGAAAAAATATTAAATTTTCATTAGCAGGGGGAGGAAAGGAAATTATTTTAAATAAACAAAAGAGTGTAAATATTTATTATATAAGATTGATATTTTATCCGTTTTTTATTAAAACGATAGAGGAGAAAATTCATAAATTAAATTGTGTAAAAGAGAGTTTTTAAAAGATTACAGATTTATATTTATATATATATATACGTTAAAAAAAACACAATAATCTTTATGTACAAATATTTATATTTGTTAATTTTATACGTCAATAAAAATCATTAACAAAATTCCCCGATTAGATTTTGGTCAAATTACACAAAATAAAAAATAAAAGAATCACCAATAAATAGAATAAAATTTTTGTAATGTAACACTAGTAAATTCAAAGTGTTTCGAAATTAATTGGTTTCTTGCCAATTATTTTACGTCATGTTTAAATTTCATGCAAAAACAATATTATGAAAATATTTATTTCTAGTGTCATCTGGAAAATTAATTACGAGTTATAAAACTAATCCAATATTATTGGCAACAGAACCATCGGCGTCAACTTGTGATCCTCTAGGTATTCGGCTGAAGTTATTTACGACAACTTTGTGTTTATCGTTTATACTTGCTTCTTGATTCGTCGCGTCAATTCCATCATTCAAACAATAGGAAACCTCTTTATCTGATATGCCATTATCATCTTTCGGTAACCATATAGCAGGTTGTATTGATTTTATAGCCGGATGCAGATAAATCGTTGATATTTTGCCACCAACATCCAAATTAACAACATCCAAACCATCAACATCTTGATCACAATAATCATCTTCATCGTCCTCACCATTATCTGTTGATAGTTCTTTTGTCCCAATCGGCGCATGCGTTCCTCCAACTCCACTTCCATTTTCATTAACTGTTTGGTTGATTATTAATTTTCCTGTGTTCACATCAACGGCTCCCTTAAAATCAGCCGGCAAAAATTCAGCTCTTGGATTAAGATTAAATATTTGTTTCATCCAAATTAATGCAGCAACGGTAATGGTGAACAGAATAATCATAAGAATAACAGGGTAAAAGGCTGTTGTCAATGACATTAGTCCTATCATCGTCAATTGAGAAATGTAAAGGCCGACGAATACTTGATAAACACTTGGTGGAAATAATAATCCGCCTGACTTGTTTGGTTGTTTGTAAACATATAAAAAGTTGTATTTGTAAGCGAAATAATAGAATGTGAAATGTAGAAAAACCAACGGAAGTATCAATGGTTGAATTGTCGAATATACAATTCCTGTATATTATATGTGTGTGTGTGTGTGTGTGTGTGTGTGTGTGTGTAATGTAAAAATTTAAATTTCAAATTTCAAATTTTAGATTTTTTTTTTTTTTTTTTTTTGGAGGAAAACAATTTTAAATAATCATAAAAATCTCACCTATCGCAGCCATTAAAACATGTGTAGGAAACCTAGTACCCCATTCGACATACTTCATATCTTTTTCCAAATAATAAATGTTTCTTGGAGTTTTTGCCAGAAATCTTTTAGATATCAAATAGACTATCAATGGAACAATTTGTAATAATTCCATTGCCGAACCCGATAATGACAAGAATACATAGGTTAGGAAGAAAGTGGAAACTGCTGGTAACTTTGCGGCCAAAACGTTGACCGTATCCCCTACATTTAAAATGAGGGGTAATGCTGATAATACCCCATTTGCCAATGCTGTCACCAGCAATACATTCACTACTAAAAAGAAAAAATATTTTTGTTGTACACTTATTTCCACTCTGGAATGTGTCACTATTCCCTCAAATTTTGATAAGACTGTATGTGTTAAATAAATGCATGGGATATATAATAATTAACAAAATTAATTATAGAATAAATTCGACTAAAAAAAAAAAACAGAATAAAAAGAAACAATAGGTACTTCTTAGAATTACAGGCAAAATTGTCATTAATATTGCTAAGCCTACAGGCGGTATAATACCCTGAATTAGTCCAGTAATTGATTCTGGTAATACTCCAGACTTTAAAAATGGAAGAATTTTTGTAAGATTTTCGTATTTACTTATCAATGCCAAAAATGTAACTATATATAAAGAAAGAACAATAGTAATTAATGTATATTTAGAATATTTAAAATATTTAGTAATTAATAGTTAAAAAAATTTTATTGTTTACCAGGTAGAAACCAAAGTAATGCTAAGGCAGATGCAGCTAAAAGGCTAACAATTTTTTTGATCATTAGTTGATTCTTGGTATAATTCAAATTATCCCAAATAACATCTTTTGCTGCAATATCATTCAAATTTTTAGGCCATATTGAAGTGGCAGCCAATTGAGCGCCGATATAATTGTTGAATTGTATAAATGCCGAATTCAATTTTTTGAAAGCTACTGGATTTTTTTGCAAATCATTTATACTCTTATTCAAATCCAATAATTTCGTATGATACGTAGTCAACGAATCAACCTTCTTGCCAACAATTGGTATCTTGCGGTGCACAGGCCGTATTTTCTCAGTGTTATCATCATTAGTGTTATCACCATTGGTGTTATCATCATTGATGCTATCATCATTGGTGTTATCAGTTTTTTTTTCGTGTTGTTTAGAATGATTGATTATTAATTGAGTTGCCGCTCTTTCATATTTTGTTACAAGCTTTTTTCTTTCATTTGTTTTTTTAACAAGTTTTCCAGGGTCTCTATATTTACATTTTGGGAATCATGCGATACGGTCAATACTGACGCAAAATTCATCAAATATTTTAATCATAAAATTTACCTATTTATCCAAATATTTTTAACGCCACCAGGAAAAATCCCAAAAAGTGATCTTAGTGATTCCTGATTATTTAGTTCGTTGGGAATTCCCGTTACTAATATTGTGGTAGCTTTAGGTGATGTTCGATGCCCAGGGGACGATAGAAATTCATGTCTTAGTCGTATATAATGATTTAATTCACGGTGTGACATGTACACCACAATACCTTTTTTTTATTTGAATAAAAAATTACATCATCACGTGCATTTATTTTATGTAATTTAGTCGTACAAAATTCAAATGCCACCTACCAGTGAACACATAAGACATTAGAGCGTGGGCCCATAACTTATTGGAATTCTCATTACCTATATTTCCAATGGTAAATTTTTCCAAGACATCAGGAGAACCTTGCTCGTGATAGTTGAAATAGTTGATTGGTAAAATTACAGCTATCCCAAGAACAGAGAAAATAGCAAATACTATCATGAAAAGACGTTGAAATCTTATAAACATGTAAGAATCCAATCCAATTCGTCGTATTATTTGATCGTCAGTTAGCGAATTTGTCGAAACCATCCATCTAAGAAACCCACTTGATGCAGCCGGCGTACGTTTACTAGAGATGACGACGAGAATATATGAGGAATCTCATTGAAAAAAATCAGTTCAAACAAATCTTTCAATTTACCTTTCAGGTAATAAATAAGTTCTTGGCTCGTAAATTTTTTTATTTCTTTTTCTTACTAATTCAAAAGCAATAAACATACCAATCGTTAAAGCACCATTAAAAATTGCCGCGGAAGAAAATGTTTCAATAGAAGCATTTTGTTGTTCACTTGCCGCCGTGTTATTAGTATCCATAATTATGATTTTTTAAATTTTTTTTTGATCTGGAAAAATAAGAATTTTTATTTCTAAATATATATATATAAGGAAAAGTTTTTAAACTAACTTTATTTATTATTTACTTATGTCATTGCCTTTTACCACACTGTCATCGTGCGACCAGTGATGGGCGTTTTTTTTTGACAACTATTACTTAATTGTGACAAATAAAATTTCCCAAACCTTTATTCGATTATCAGGTAATTAACATTAATCCAAATAAACATAGAAATTTACCTTTTTTTAAAAAAAAATATCACACTTTCTCTAATGAAAATACTTTCGAACAAACTATTTGATAGCCAAAAAAAGGCATTTATTGTTTTTTTTTTGTGAAATGTTACATTATTTTCTTATTTAACACTAGATCTGATGACGATGGTTGATTTTCGATTTCAAAATTTTTCTCAATCCGAATTTCACCATATTAATATTAGCATAAAGAAGACTTACAACTTTTTTGATTAGCACTTATTTGATACACGAACGACAATGTCTTTTAAATTTATAATAATAAGTATTTTCACAAAATCTCTTAATTGTATTGATGACAAATCTCATTAATAAAGATGAATTATTAAGCTCAGAGCAAATGGCAAAGACCCAAATATTTGTTTCGTAATGCAGAACTGAAGAAAGTATCTATTGTTGATATCCTTTATCTGATACTTGTAAATAAATAAAATATATATGGGACACGAAACAAACCAATGAAATGTGGTTATTATTATTTATTAAACAATTTATGTCCTGTTTGTTATCTTTGTTTTTTCTCAAGTACTATATGTAAAAAAAATAATTAATATGAAACTCATTTATATCAAATCCACCATGGAACCCAAGAATTAGAAGTATTTTGAAGTGAGAACAAGGTGAAAAAATTTCTTTAAAATAAATGATACAAGCTCATCTAAGAAAAGTAAAGATTACTTACTTATGAAATTTATAAGAAGAAAGAAAAATCATACGATAGAGCTTACGAATCAGTAATTTGGGATAGAATAATTCGAATATTTGGTTTTTTAAGTAAAGATTTTCAGCGAATTTGGTTGTAAAAATTTCCCATGGATGATTTAAACAAATGATGAGTTTACAATTACCATAATCTTTGCCTGTTTTAATTAGTTCCAGTCAGTCACATAAAAAAAAGAAGGTATGAAGAAAACTCACAATCAACTAGAGTGTGGAGAGCTAGAGATCATTATAATTTAATAGGTGAACATGATGAGTTTGTTCCATAATTGAAAAGGGAAAATGGTTAACCTTTCGCATAATAATTTTCAATTTGATAACAGTTAAATTTTTATCACTGAAAATTTATATAATTGGTTCGAATCGTTCGAATAATTGATGGTTCAAATCGAGTCATCGAATATTCGAATCAAAAAATTTTTTTGACTATGATTCGAATCGGTCCGAGCCGGTTCGTACGTAAGATCTGATAAAAGAACATTAACACAAAGATATAACCTGAAAATCGGAAGAAAAGTAATATACCACCTAATTATCAATACAGATATGTATATTAATTAACACTACAACAGAAAGAACAGTTGCCACATGACAACACTTAATATTATTAATTTATCCTATGATTTTTTTGTTTTGTTTTCTTTGCAAATAAGCAATTATTACCAAAGCTCCGAACGGTTCGGTTTACATTTGAACCAAAAATTTCGAGCATCCTAAAATTCGTTAACTATATAAATCTATACATAATAACTTCACAAAAAAATTATAATAACTTGTAGCTGAATGCGTGTTACGATTTAGAAATGTTGGAAGGATCCTGTTTTTATATACATGAAGTCAGCCCTCGTTATAAAGGATTTAGACACTTAAAAATCGTTATAATAATAACAAATTCATTAGTCGCGTTATAACGGATGTTAACGGTTTGTTATAACACGTATTTAATTAGGTTACGTTCGTCATAACGAGGTTTGATTGTTGCAGCGAAAGTCCTAAAATTAGAATGGTGATCATGATCCATTTCAAATTATTTATATTTATTAAAAACAAATTCATTGCCGTAACCAACTTTTTAAACACATACAAAATCTTATGATTATTATTTTAGGTTCTAAGCTACAACGTCTTTGGTGCCCAGAAAAAACTCGTTCGACTGGGACACTGGTTTCTATATAAGTGATTGGTTTATTAGAAATTAATAAATCTAAGCAGAGTGCAAAAATTAGAATATTGAAAACTTCTAATTTTGAGGTTTCAGGCAATTTGAGAGGTTTTACTTACTAAATTTACATTGGCTAATTGTGAAAATCATTACCATAAAACAACCTAGATCATCAACATCACCAAGTAATGACATTCATTTTCACTTTTCTATATGTTTTTTACCTTGTCTGTCTGGGATCTCAATTAGAAGTTTCCGAGGTCCTATTATCTATATAATTTATAAACAAATAATAAAAGATAAGTCACGCGTTTTATTATATATCACATGGTCAATTTTCACATTCAATTTTGTACAATTACAATATAGGTAGATCCTCCTACCCGTTGACTTAATCTCTCGACGTGAATTATCCGACCGTGCGTAACTTTATATATAGTCAAAAAAAAAAATATATAATGCTTTTGTAGTTCACTGGGATTAGATATCTGATTTGCATATATATAAATAAACGTTTCGCGCAAAACTAACATATATTATCTGTTGTAGATGCAATCTGGATATAAAAGCGTATTACGGTTGAAAGTAATAAAAGCGTTGAATATATGTTAAGAGGCCTATTAATAAATATTAACCAAGTTATATAAGATAGGAAACCTGCTCCGGGGAGGTAGCAGTGCCCTTGACACCTCGAGGGACTTTCATCTCTAAAAGCATCGTTATTCCAGGTCGGCATTCCCCAGTCTTCAGCTACAACCAGTCAAACGGCCTATTTATCTTCTGTAGTATCGTCATTAATATAATCAAGTAAAAAACCTTATTTTAATATGTAACTAACCTGTGGTAATATTTCTGATGTTTTTAACTTTTGATCGTTATCATTTATTTTTGTTCCGCTAAATCACTGATAGTATTATATTCATCCAATGTATTACATTCTATCGCTAAATAAATAACTAATGTACTGCAAACAGCACTTAAAGGTCCAGTTAATTAAAAATTTTCTATTTGCGATACCAAGTTCAACATTATAAACGCTTAAAAAAATGTTAATGTGTTTGAAAATGTTATAAAAGCAATTAGTATAAATAGATTTGATACACTGACCTTTTTTTAAACCGTTTTTACCCATCTCTTTCTACATCTTCTTTGGATATATAGAACAAGTATAATAAAGCAGAAAAAAACAATGTGAATGCATTTACGGCAATAAAGAAAATGTGCTAATTAATCGAATTTGGTTAAAATAAAGTCAAAAATATTTATAGGATCCCTTCAGGTTTTTGCAAAGAAGTTACTATCAGGGAATATATTGGAGGTAAATATACACTTGTATACTTGAAAATTGGATAGCAGAAGATCAAGGTTATGGAAGTTAAAATAATTATCAAAGGGGAATACCGGCATGGAAATGTTTATTCGGATGGAATTATACATCTATTTTTTTTTATTTGGCCTGATTTCTTTATAAATCACTCACATTATCTGGAGTATTATCCACACTACTCTCAATATCAAAATTTCCCAATTCAGTATTAACATTATCACACAGAGTGTTAGTCGCAATATTTACATTTTCTAGATTTACCGATAATTTTCGAGTGCCCATAGCATCTGTATAAGATGGTAATGGGTTATCAGTATCCATACGAGCCATATATAATTTATTCAGAAGGCAGGCTTGTAGATTATATTTAAGAATGGAATTAGGGCTTCTATTCGTAATACGAATCCTTATTTGAATTAAAAAATTTATTCGTTATATTCATTTTATTCGTTTTATCCAAATTACTAATTTATTCATTTTATAAAATATAGGTCTTATTTCTCTAACAAGATGATAATTATATTTACAAGCTATAATACTACTATAATTGCTAGTACTATGACTGTCAGCTACTACTATTTATTATTATCACTATATTCAAGGACTAAAGAAAATAGATAAAAATTTTTAATTGGATTGGATTATTATTATCGCTCATTTTATTCGAATTACTAGTTTTATTCGAATCATTAATTTTATTCGAATTAAAAAATTTATTCGAATAAACTTTCAATGTAATTTGAATACTCAAATTCATAACGAATGAAACGAATAATTCGAATAGAAGCCCTAAATGGAAGATAATGTGAATATAAAGGAAAGTATTTCACTATTCTAGACAAAGATTTGTGGAAATTCTTGGACCTAGAAGCCTGATGCAGGATCGTTAGGATTGGTTACAGGTTCAATGTAAAGATGTTAGTAATTATTTTATAGGAATTTAGTTTCTAGAAATTTACCTTTTAGAGAAACAATGCATAATGGGATACTTTATAACCAAATCATGTGGAACACATAGCAAACAAACAAAAAACTTTTGAACTTATCCTGTTAAACAAAAATGGCATTATTTTTCTCACTTGTGCTCTGTCTGTATAATTAAATAAATATGTTAATATTAATATATATATATCGTTGCTGTTAAAATAATCCTTTTTTTTTTCAATTCAATTTTTCCTAACAAAGTTTTTTCAAAATGGATAATTGTCCTAAATGTAATATAAAAAATAAGTATCCTTATTGTTGTCATCTATGTCTTCCCTCATATTTTCAAGACGAGTTTTCTAATTGGTCAAGTGGTAACCAAACGATAGACAAATATATTCAAGGCATTCAACTTGATGCAACTGAATGGTGCCAGTATTTAGAATGGATTCCATACGAAAGACTAGTCAATGTTCATTATTTAGCAAAAGGAGGATACGGAAAAGTGTATTCTGCGATATGGTTGGACGGGCCGAAAACCTTTGATCGAGATAAAATCGAAATTTTTTCTAGAAAAGAGAATCATCCTGTTGCTCTTAAAAGTATTAATCAATTGGGACTAAATATGGAAGAATGGTTTTCTGAGGCAAGTTTCTTTTTCGAATTATTCCAAGTTTAAAATTCGTTTTAATAAAATCTATGTTATATCTTATCAATGTTATTTTTTATTACAACTTAACAGTTATATTTGCGGTAAGTTTAGGGAGAGGTTTAAAAAAAAGCTTCTTCTAAATTATAATTGATCCGTTTATTATATGTAGCAATGAAAAGTTTTGATGGATATAATGATGTTATAAGATATTATGGAATAACCCATAATCTAGAAACAAAAGAATACATGATGATAATACAGTTTACGCGCTACGCGGTTCATTAGGCAAATCGTTTGGAAATAAAATGTTATGGAAAATTAAACTTTATCTTCTCATGAGAATGTCAATTGCTCTTTCCACAATACATCGAGCTAGTCTGGTTCATCGTGATCTACATAATGGCAATATACTGTTGGATGATGATGATGATGATTCTTCTACAATTCTCGTACCTATGATAAGGGTATGCGATTTTGGTTTAACTTGTAAAGTTAATTCGATAAATGATGGCATATTTGCTATTTTACCTTATGTCGCACCTGAGGTTTTACTTAAGCAACCTTATATACAAGCTTCAGATACGTATAGTTTTGGTATCCTTATGTGGGAGGTCGCTTCAGGCCAAATAGCATTTTCTGATCAGCCACATGACTTTGATTTAGCAATGAAAATTTGTCAGGGTTTTCGCCCACCAATTATTGATGTTATGCCGGAATTTTTTCTTGAGTTAATGCAACAATGTTGGGACGCGAATCCAAAAAATCGACCTAATATAGTAAAAGCAAATTTGATTCTTAATAAATATATTTTTGTTGATAGACATAAAGAAAATTAGAAGAACCCGATATACTAGGATTTTGTGATAGAATTAAGTCTAAAAATTCAAATAAACTAATTTCAAAATTACATGATAAGGCTGTTTATACTAGTAGGCTTATGGATTTTGGAAATCTAGACTCGATCAGAGGTAATTGTGGCAATTTACATTAACGCAACTATATTTTATTCATTTGCATTTGTTCTATTTATTATTATAGATACTCAACAACTTGGTTTCACAATTCCTGATTTGATTTAAATTATCACAAAATCTTTAAAATCCTTCAAATCATTTATATCTACTCAAAGCTAATATTACTTACATATATATATTATACAACAGGAGGTACGAAATAAAAAGAGTTCTTTACAATATGTTTTTTTAATTCTATTCTTTCAATTCTACCTAATAGAATATAAATTTAAATCATATTTATTATTGTACAAAATAGGCTTTAATATTGTAAAAATAAAAAACAAAAAAAATTATAAAATCATATGAATATTAGCATCACTGAACTTAATTTTTGGTAGTATTGGGAGTACTAAAGAAATATACAATCGCTTGAACTTTGTCTATTTATAGAATACTGCAACTTTAGACTTATCTTGGTTGATATGCTAGATTGATTTCTGAAGGTTCATAACCTGATTTGTGTTATGTTGTTTCTCGTTACTTTGTAATCAGAGCCAGCAAACAAAAGACTCAACCAATAGAACATCCATAGATTGATTTGTGGAAAGCTGATAAAGACAAGTTCTTTTGCCTCCCAGAAGAAAGAAGTTCTATGTCAACGCTGGTGATACACCTTCAATTCTCATGATCTGCAAATTCCACCTAAGCTTCTTTAATAACGCAAAATTCAAGAACTGGTAATGGCAATCATTGCATTGAGAAATCTTGATTTTCCTATTATCTCATCTATGTTCTGGTTATATTGGGGGGAAAACAATTAATTGTCTATGAAAAAAAGGGACAGATAGAGATGTTAGGTTTACACTAAATGACGGCCTGGAAAGATCCAAGATTGATGAAGCAAAGAACAATCCTTTAACTATTCCAGCTCGGATATTGGTAAGGATTCAAATTAACGAATGCCACGTCAACATTGATGTTGATTATGTTAGTAAACTTTATGAAATATGGGGTGATGCATGCAGCAGAAGAGAGACAGAAGTTAGGATTTGCACTTTATTCATTTTTTGAAGGATCTGATTTGAGTGGAGGCAGAAATGCTGTCTCTACAAAGTCATGTTAACAAGATAATCCAAACAAAAGTGGGATAATTTGGTTCTTGTGTTGGTTATAGAGTTGCAGAAATTTGTCATCAAGCTGAGGCCTTGAGTAATACGCAGGACTTTTTCTACTTGAGAATTACTAAGCATGTTTTTACAAGAAATGGAACGTTTGAAATATGTGAGCTGGTTGACCCTGGGCATCATCTACCAACAGCAATAAGGGTACTTTGACTCTTAAAAATCTTAAATAGAAAACTTATTACAAGGTTGATGAAATCGAATGAACAGATATTGTATGTGTGTCTTTTATCAACTCTAATCTGAGGGTATTGACTTATTAACTCTTCCAAATATCCGATAAAGTATAATGTTAAACTAGAAAATAATGTTGAACATTGTTTTGTTGTTCCCAAAGACAGATATGATGAATTCAGCCAGTTGTAACTCAGGACAATAAACATCATTAAAAATAAGACAATTCGCTCTTAAGATTGTCCTGAATTACCCAAAAATTGCTATTACTACCTAATTTTACCAACATGGCTTGACTTAATGTACAAGTAACGAGACAATATTTCCTTTGTGTTTTCTAGATTAAGTATATTACGATGGTAAATACTTGAAGAAAAATCCTGTAAAGGCCAAATGCAATGAGAAAAACTATTTTTTTTTTTCTTACGAAACGTAATAAGGTTCAATCGTGAATTTAATTCGCAGCTTTTTCTGAAATGCAAATCTTGTCCAAAAATATTCTATGGTAACTATAATGGGACTTTTGAAGCCTCCTCCTCATAAGTGTATTATTTGTGCTGCCAAAATTTTTATTAATTTACGATTGTTACACACGTAAATCAATCATTAAAAAATTTCTTCAAAAAAATTAAATTTAAAAATGAAAGTATTTAATAGTATACTTTTAATACTTAATATATTAATTATTAATATAATAACCTCAGGAGGGTTCACATACGCACAAAATGGTTTGTTATATATACATGTTTTTTATACTCATCCATCTATTTTACATCTGCTAATGCTAAGCACATCTTGCTGAGACTTTAACCAAATATTAAAAACCCGTACTTTCCTTCCTCATTAATTAATAGCCGCAGATTATTTCGTTAAATCACTTCCTGGACTTCCTGACAACCAAGGCTTATTGAAAACTCATGCAGGGTAAATAGGATTGTTCATAATTATTAACTTTGTAAAGCTCACAATCCCGAATGATTAAATTTATTAATTATATTAATTTAGACATATTAAACTTAATAAAGAGACAAATACCAATATATTCTTTTGGTTGTTTCATAATAAACATATTGCTGATAAATCAAGATTGGTAATTAATTGATTTAATTAAATCATCGATCATTTATTTTTAATTAATGAATAAGATTATATTAATTTTTAAATTTTAAATATTCGATCCAAAAGATCATTTGGCTTAATGGAGGTTAGTAATTAGAATAATGTAATTAACCTCATAATAATATCATAATATGAATTAATTTATAATTGAATTTTTTAGGCCCTGGATGGTAAGAGAGAAGAGACATTAGTTTCGATTAGATTAAAGAATTAATTATTGATTTTAGGAAAATATTTTTAATATTAAACAATTCCTTATTTAATTCCTAATATAAAATTTTAGTTCAAGGTAATTAATTATAATAATAATAATAATAATAATCAAATTACACGATTACTTAAATAATCCAATTAACTTATAAATTTTTTAAAAAACAATTAATTAGTATGGACGGAGTATTTCTTGAAAGTGGACCCTGGAGAATGAATTCTGATCAAACACTGAACTCGACTAGCAGTTCATGGAATGAATATGCGAACGTATTATATGGTATATCGATATTCTTTTAATAATAATGATAATAATAACAATAATAATATAATAATAATGATAAAGATAATTTTAGCAATATTGTTGTTATTATTATTATTATTATTATTATTATTCTTATTAATATTTACTAATCAGATAAATTTTTTTTTATGAAATAGTTGATCAACCTGCTGGAACTGGATTCAGTTTTGCAGATAGTAATAATTATTTAACAAATATTACGCAGGTGAATATTTAGCAATAATAATAACAATAAATTATATTGACTTTAATTATTATTATTAACGTAGCTATTTTAATATTATTTAGATTCCAACTCAATTTTTGCTTTTTTTGGATAAATTTTTTGAAATATTTCCTGAATTTTCTCAAGATGAAGTAAGTAAGAGAGATACCCCTCTAAAAATTGATCGATGATTTACTAATTAATTAATATATTGAATTTTCTTTCCATAAAAAATTTCCAACACAGGTTTATTTAACTGGTGAAAGTTATGCGGGGACCTTTATACCTTATATTGCAAAAGCCATTATAGATCGTAATCATAAAAGAAAAACTTCCGAACTTTTAAAAGTATTTATTTATTTATTTATTTATTTATTTATTTATTTAATGCACTATGTATAATGAGATTGAATTATTTAAATTAATACTATCATTATAATTTTATTCCAAAGTACAATCTAAAAGGCATCGCAATTGGTAATGGATGGATAGATCCAGTTAGTCAGGTAAAATATCATTATTAATATTGATTATACATATCACTTTTAATACATTCATATGATATTAATTAATTAATATTTCTAGTATAATGCTTATTACACATTTGCCGTGGAAAAAAATCTTTTAGATGGTGAACATAAGGTAAATAAATAATGATTCATCTGCTAACAATATACTAACTATTTATTATATACATATACTAATATTTACACTAAAGACTCTTGCAGAAAAGCAATTGGAAACATGTAAGGGTATGTTGAATAAACAAGTACAAATACATTTAGATTCTTGTGAAGATATTCTTTCAACAGTATTAGAAAGTTCACGCCGAAGGTATTGTATTTGTTAATATTTACTTGGGAATAGAAAGGTATTATAAAAAATACTCCAAATAATAATAATGATTTTGTGGGGGTTTTTTTAATGTAATAGGAGTGGCAATGATGACAATTGTATTAATCAATACGATATTAGAGATTATACTGATACTTTTCCATCATGTGGAATAAATTGGCCATATGAACTAACAACAGTTAGATCATATTTAAGAGTGACTATCATTATTATATTTTCTATATTTAAATAATATAATCTATATAGAATTAATTATTTTATTTTTTTTAGAGAACGGATGTTGTTGGAGCAATTCATGCAGACTCCCAACAACTTGGATGGGTTGAATGTAATGGGGGTGTTGGGCGTCTATTCAACGACGATGTATCACCACCATCAGTCACTGTATGTATATGTGTATATGCCTGTGTGTGTGCGCGCACACACACATATATATTGATGTTGGTGATTCATGTAAAACTTACTAATAATAATTAATGTATTTTTTTTTATCTAGCTGTTGCCAGATCTTTTGAAAAATATTAACGTATTATTATACAAGTATATAAATATTACTATACTTTGCTATATTTTTTATTGAAAAATATTGATTATTAATCTTTTTTTCAATAATATATTTTTTTTAAAGTGGTGATCAAGATTTCGTTTGCAATGTAAATGGAATAAGAGATATGATAAGCAATTTGGAGTGGAATGGATCTAAAGGATTTATGGTGCGTAATACAGTTTATATATGATAGATAGATTGATGGGTTGATTGATTCATCCATTCGTTAGTTCGTTGGTTTGTTTGTCCATTCACCTCATCCAATATTATTGATTTTATAGAATAATACAGCGAAACCTTGGTATATTAATGATGAAATTGTCGGTGAGGTGACAAGTGAAAGAAATCTTACATATGCAGTTATATATAAAGCAAGTCATATGGTACCATATGATGCACCAGTTCAAAGTTTGGATATTATTTACAGATTCATCGGATTAAATGGCAATTTAACAAAACAAGCCTTTACTTCTAAAATTGGAACTGAGGTTAGTATTAATTATGTGATAGTATATAAATATAAATATAAAATAGTGTGTGTAATAATTATCCATTTATCATATAGGATATTATTACCGGAGATAATCCTACCGAAGATAATACAAAAGATTGGGACAAATATTATAACGCGTAAGAAATCATTGTGCCATCATTATTATCAATCGTTGCCAAAAATATTAATTTATTTGTTACTGTTGTTTTTTAGTGGAACTGCTACACTTATAATTGTAATAATTGGTGTTGTTGGTTTAGTAATCTGGGTATTTAGAGGAAAACTTATTAGGCGTAGAAGAACTACAACTAGTCAAGCAATGAAAGCTGCTGTCGAAGCTGAAAATAACGAAATGTAAATTTTAAAAAACTATTATTATTTAATATTCATTACTATATGCTAAATCATTAATCTTATATTTAATAGGGAATTGGTTATAGAGACACCACTATTCCAATCAGATGATGTTGATCATTTTGGTGATAGTGACGAAGAAAATGAAGAAGGTAAACAAAGTCGACAATCATCAGATCAGCTACAACAAAACATTAGAGAAAGAAGTCAAAATACCAGATATCGAGATATTGATAGTGAAAATAATTCAGAAGAAAGAGTTAGATTAAGAGATAGTGAAGACCATTAATTAATTAATTAATTTGGGTTTATTAATTTTTTTAAAATTTCTTTATTTAATAAAGAAAAATTGTTTAATAAAAAGAAATAATATTTAGATTTTTCATTTAATAATTATTAAACATAACAATAACTTAAAAAAAATTATATATTTTATTTCTTACAATAGAGGAAATGGTTTAAATTTTTTAATATTAATATATGTAAAAAATAAATTAATAATAATAATAATAATAATAATAAACTTTACTGGAACTACTGCGCCACATTTACCATAAACTTTGTGCGTGATACTTTACCCCCCTTTGATTTTTTGAACCATGAATGGTGCGGAACTTTATACACCATATGCTCATCAAAGTAAATGCCATCATCCAATAACATATAGTACAAGCTCACCTTAACACGACAATTTTCAAAAATGGTTATAACTAAAAATAAAAATAGGAAATCCGTTGTTTTTCACAAGCTAAGGGACAAAGCTATAGAGATTTCCCAAAATTCCTTTAGTTGTAGAGTCATTTTACTATGTAATAATGACATGTAATAATCTCGCAACAAAAAAAGATCGGGTAATATGGATCACATGATATTTCAAGCTCTCGTTGTGTTACGCATTTGCCTGTAAAGGGAGCCAATAATATAAATATACCAATTAGTATTAGCGTATGTATTAACCTCGTGATTTCAGTACATCACCATCGAAAAAAAAGATCATATAATAAATAATAATAATGCGATAGGTGTTATAATCGAGCCTAAAGCTCTATACAGCAGATAATTATCTAGCTTGACATAAAACGGTGGGTGTGAGATGCCCTAATTAAATCAAAATTAGGTGATGTAACATGATGCCGATCAATAACACTTTTTTTTTTGAAAAAATAAGAATATACATAAAAACTATATAAATAAAAATTGTATCAGAGCCTTCAAATAAAGAGATACAGACATGAAACTAAGGGAAATTATAGCAAATAGCACAAGCCTTTAGATTACAGAGAGTTTTTTTTTTGCTAAAATAAAAAAAATTTTTATATATCCTAAAGAAATTGAAAAAAGATTGCTAATTAGGAAAACTTTATAACCAAATGAGATAGGGAAAAAAGCTCTCTGTAACTTTATTATAGAAGACTTAAACTATAAAAAAAAGTTATCATTGTTTAAAGTTTTTCAATTTATTATTAAATTTTACCATAAAATCCGTACATAATAATTTGTTATATTGATGTAACATATGTTTGATGATCAACAGCCACAATAAAACGGGTGCGTAATTTTTATTCCAACTTTTTATTAGTTTTGCATATCCTTAATTCTTCCAAAAATGAAAATGCAAGACCAAAAAAGCAAGTCATAGAATTAAAGCTAATGCTATGATTTCGTTCTGTTGATATATTATGTTATCATGGAGAAATTAAGCATCAAAGTTGCGTGTGTTTATTATGTTACTTCCTACAATTGTGTACAATATATGTAGAATATTTGTTGCTGTAAATAATAGGTATGTAGTATATTTGGACGTGGTTATTTGATTGAGAATGGAGGAGAGGGCGTGATACAGTTTATTATTAATTTAATTGAATAAATAAAAAAATCCATGTAATTTTTTAAAAATTAAATTATTAATTATTCTAAAAATTATTCTAAATATAATAAAAGAATGTTAATTAATAGTTTCAAAAATTTGTTATAGATTTTCTTCTTGATTAAATAACCATTTAACTGCCTCTAATACATTATCAGCAATATGTTTAGCAGGATTTATAGCATGGTTATCAATACCCTGATATACACCTGTTTTAACCAATATCGATATCCAATTATAATCATTTGCTCCTTTAATGTCTAAATAATAAATAAATAAATATTTCAATAAATTATTTAGCAGAGTAGATTATATTAATTGGTAGAAAAGAAAAAACTAACCTGAATCAGGATTATCTCCGATTGCTAATAATCCAAAAAAATTTTAAATGATAATTTTAATAATAAATAAATAATCAATTCCAAAAAATCAGAAAATAGATATATGTTTACCATAAACTCTTCTCCTTTCACTCTCTTTACGAACAACATCATCATGATTAGTAAGTCTTGAACCGGTTGATTTATAAGCATAGTTTTCCAACAGTTTTTCCGCATATTTATAAGTTATAGTTTCAGGTTTACCAAATGATATATATTTGGGATCATGACCTGTCAAACACTAATATCAATTAATCAATTATGTGATTTGAGAGCAAGAAGAAGAGGAAATAATAATAATAACAAAATCTCTATGAATTGTTTTTTTTATTTGATTATTGCTTACTTTAAATAATACTTCAAAATTTTTTCTGAATGCACCTTGAGCAAATCTTGGTAACGTAAAATTATTTGTCCATATCTAAAACAATCATATAAACAAAAAAATATACATGTGTGTGTGTGTGTGTAAATTATTTATAATTTCTTATATATAATTAACAAGAAGTAAAACTTTAATACTTACAATATCAGGGTTCGAGAAAAATAAAGGAATTTGTTTTAATATTAGTTCATCTTTAGTACACAAAGTACCAATATAACCGTTCTTACTACGTAGCACATCAACCATTATTTGTATATCTCTTCCCCCTAAATAGTAATGATGATCATGATAAAGTGAGAGAAAGAAAAATTTTCTCGGAAAAAAAAAGATAGAAAAAAGATAATAATTACAATCTCTACTATCGTGAAATACCATGATTGCTTCTATTGGTTCTTTTGATAAATCTATTTTCTAATAATAATATTGTTATCGTTATTGTCATCGTTATTGTTATTATAATTATAATATGACAAACAATTCTCTAAAATACCTTAATATATTTGTAATCTTGATCTTCGAGCTGGGAAAATGGACAAATACTTGGATCCCAAGCTATCACATCATTTGGTAATATGACTTTATTAAATCCATAGCTATTATATGGAATTTTGATAATATAAATATAACATCCACACACATAGTAATGATTCAAGATTATAATATTAAGTAGGTACCTTTCAGCAACCTCTCTACAAGAATATTTATATCCGCCTATCACCAAAACATTTGAATTCATAAATGTCGATGTTAAAGATCTCATTGGTGAATGCGCTAATACAATTTGTTCTTCCGATATCTATAAAAATCATATATTTTAATTATCGATTATTTTTTTTTTTACCAAAAAAACAATAATTCATAAATTCAATCAAATCAATGCTCATAACTCACAGGAACTCCAAACATATCTGATAATTCAATAGCTCTCTTACGTTCAGTAACTCCGCCACCATTTGTTAATAATATAAAAGGAATTATTCTATATAATTTTTTATTACAATAATAGTAATTATGAACAACAAATGAATTATTATAATCATTATATTCATCAAATTATTAATATTATTTACCAACTTTTTTAATTTATTTTCACCTTTTAGAATTCTAAGAGCTTCTCTCGTCTCTGGTATAACATTTTTGCCCTTTTTTTTAATTTTAGCATAAGAAAAGAGAAGAGAGAAAATCCGTTAAATTTTTTGCAGAGTATGTACATATACATGTATAAAAAACCGGATATTCATACATACTTTAATAAGAACCCCATCAATATCTAAACATACGCCATAATTACGAGCAGGAGAATTAGAATTAGAAGACCAACGATAATTGACAGAGTAACAAAAAAGATTTTTGATTTTTGATTTTTTGTTAAAAGAATTAAGATGATTAAAAAATAATCTTGACATTATTATTATTATACTATTACTATCAAATGTCGAAATGTCGGTAGAATGAATCTTTTTTATTATTATCTTTTTATGATCCTAAAATTACCGATTTTTTGTCGTATATGGTACGAATGAATTTATTACATTTAGAATGTTGCACGTAATATTTAATTCGTGAATGCGGGTGATATGCATTATTAGAATTCCAACCAATAAAATTCAAGAATTAAAAAAAATTTGCGCGGTCAATGTCACACCAGAGTGGTCACATAAAAAATCTCATTAATTTTTATGAGACCATATATGGTATTAGTATGGAGTGAACATTTGTATTACCAAGAATTTCATAGGTCAAAATTTAGTAATTAATTTTATCTGTTATCTTTTTTTTTAAAGTGGTATATAGAATTTCTCTTAAATAAAAATAATTAATATGGTTGGCTCGGTCTAAAGACCTCATGCTGCTGCGCCACACGCTTAAATTCCAAAAATTGCGATTTCAAAAATGCAATAAAATTTTTCAAAAATTCCACGTAATTTTGGTTAAAAAATTATTTTCCATCCTGCCAAATTTAAATACGATTGTCGAATATTAGTCTAAATTAGGGATGTTACTCATGAGTACTCGTACTTATTGAGTGATCTGCATAAGTATCCGGATACTCAAGAGTACTCATGTATGACAAATACCTAATATAGTAAAAATTGAGTTGAGAAAATAAACGTATATGGTTAGGACCTCTGACAATTATAATTGAACTGGTATTGAGAAAAGTGGGTAGTGATCTCGTTAAAACACCAGTCAGATCTTCAAGCATTT